GCATGTTTAGGCTGCTTAGGAGGACCCGACTTGGACTTCATTCTTCCCGCTTCTTCGACATCTTCCTTTGTTGTTTCAGGGTTGCATGCTGCCAATGCAGAAAATAACAAAAATCAACATTAGAGCGACGACTGGGCCTATTGTTGAATGCACGTTAGGGCTAAACTACAGGACGTACAGTGACAACATGAGATGAGATCCATTGCAAGCAAATCAATAATAAACAAAGAAAGCATGTCAAACGTATGTGTCAAATCAATCATTCTTTACAAAGAAAAATTGCAGATTCTTAGTAAGACGTGAACAAAACTTGAGAAAGTGGCACATATAAGAACGAGCCAATTCTGACGAGGAAAATGGCTATTCCAACAAATACTGATTGTTTGTGCGTTTCATATCTCACCTTTCGACGGAAGATAGCCCGATTCCATCTCTTCGTTATCTGCAGTGAATCAACAAATATTCACTCGGCCTCAAAGGAAATGTATCGATCATTAAGAAATTCTCAAATTTCTCATGCGGTCCACCATTTTATACGCTCTGTAATGCTTTCCGATCATAGATAGCTCAAGGCATTTTCATGACAGTGCCGACTTGCGTGGTGTAGTTCGTTTGCCAACAACGACAGAGTTGGATTTACCTTTTCCCCGATGGGGCGTCTCTTTCTTGCTTTGTCTTCCTATGTCTATTCGCGTTATATGCTCACCCAGGGATGGTCTTTCGGTCCACAGGCAACAATGAGGGGAAAACCATAAAAGGCAGGAATGAAACAGAAAAGGTGAATCAACGCGGGCTGACGTCCCAGAAATGTGAAGGGGAGCAATGACATTGTGAGTCGGCATTCTCGATAGAAGCTGCCATACAGTTGTAACATTTACAAGTGCATACATTGCAAGACCTTGAAAGATACGTAAATGGCATAGGGATTTGATTTTGAAACAAAATCCGAGCCGGTGCTGCGCTTAGGTGGTGCTGAACAAGTTCTTACGAAGAACGGGTTTGCTTTTCCACTGGCAAAGAGCCAAGTAGGAGCGACGTCGTGACATCATCGTCAAAGGTCCAAAAGTCTTTTACCCAAGAGGGCCTGCGCTACAAATAACAATCGTAATAATGCGCTGTTAGCATCTGCGAGGCAACTTAGCGTGGCATTGATTATACTTTGATGTGATATGTAGCAGTCAAGGTCATGCCCGCCATCGCTCTTCTGGTGGGACACAAACGTGCCGGAGATCAGGCTGTGTGATGACTCACTTGAGGTGTGTCCCGCAGATGTGCCTCAGCGTCTCGATGTGTTTTTGACCGATGTTGTCGGTTTCGGCAGGCGAGCGCTTCTCAGCGTCCTTCTCTTTGCAGCGGCTCTCTGCGAGCACAGACAAACATTTGCCCTTTCACACAAAGTCGCGAGTGGGAAAGCAGAGCTTGCAGTACCCCAGTTCTCCTGCAGGACAGTGAGGTTGAAGAGCACACGTTCATGGTAGAGCTTCTCTAGCTGGAGAAGCTGGATGGCCAACTGGTCTGGTGACATTGGCAGTTAAAGTTTTTTTTTTCCCCTTGTTTTGGCTCTGAATGTGGAGATGGGATTGGGCTGCTGTTAAATGCAGAGCCGGATCTATTCTGTGAGAGAGACGGCTTTCTTGACTGGCTTTAGCGCATTTCAAAAAGTTGACAAATATTTCAAGCGGTGCATTTTTTCTGTATGCGGCCCTCAAACCAAAACATTTGGACACCCCTGGTGCGAGGTATGAGACAAGGTATGGGGAAACGCCCACTCGCGCAGACAGATGAGCCGACCTGGAATGGCTTGGATGTGGAATGTACTAATCCGAGCGTGACTTGACTGACTTTGCTTTGCGGGCTGGGACTCGGCCAAGCCTGAACTTAAAATCAGTTTCAAGAACAGAAACAGAAAAAAAAGGACCTTCCCATATAGTTGCAAGAAAGCAGAGGTGTGGCCTAACCAAAACCAAGAATGTCATTTTTCCCCGCCTTTCATAAGTCATTGACGGCCATAGATTTGGTACACTGCTCTGTATTCTCGAGAAAGGATACAGTCCTCTTGGAGTGAGCAGACTTCTGCGATCTGCAAAGAAAAACATGATTAACATACAGTAAGACAACCATTTTTATTTATTTATTACGTTTTACCCTTGAGACATTCTAAAAAAAACAACAACAACAACATTTAGCCTTCATGACTGAGCACAGTCGTATACTGTAAATTTAAGAGCCCCAGCCACAAGATGATTGGATGTGAAATGCACGCCAGTCCTTCAAAGAGATGAAGGTTCCAAGGTGAAACGCAGCATGAAGACGACATATGAAACTGGCATCTACAGATATTCAAATATCTGAGTACCACAAGTGTTGCTCATTCTTCTCGGACTGGATGTGAATTGAACTGTGACCTTAAAAGCGATGATATGTTATACGAGGTGTAACCATTAAAAGCAGCCCCCCTGACAGCAAACATTGTACGGTGTTGCCCACAATTAAAACTACCATTTTCACTCCAAGCTGCGATTACTGTCGTCTTGTTTTTTTTTAGAGTTTCATCTTTGACCTCTTCTTGGATTTTTGAATTGGGCTGTCACAGATGGGGAATTAATTATAATGATCGGGAATTAAGAACACATTTAACAAATTAAGCAAAGCATTTTTGTAAACAGCTATTCTCCACATTTGACAACAACAACAACATTTAGCCTTCATGACTGAGCACAGCGGATCATGTCAAATTAAGATGCCCAGCCACAAGATGATTGGATGTGAAATGCACGCCAGTCCTTCAAAGAGATGACGGTTACAAGGTGAAACGGAGCATGAAGACGACATATGAAACTGGCATCGACAGATATTCAAATATCTGAGTACCACAAGTGTTGCTCATTCTTCTCGGACTGGATGTGAATTGAACTGTGACCTTAAAAGCGATGATATGTTATACGAGGTGTAACCATTAAAAGCAGCCCCCCTGACAGCAAACATTGTACGGTGTTGCCCACAATTAAAACTACCATTTTCACTCCAAGCTGCGATTACTGTCGTCTTGTTTTTTTTTAGAGTTTCATCTTTGACCTCTTCTTGGATTTTTGAATTGGGCTGTCACAGATGGGGAATTAATTATAATGATCGGGAATTAAGAACACATTTAACAAATTAAGCAAAGCATTTTTGTAAACAGCTATTCTCCACATTTGATCTATTGGCTGATTTACTACCAGGTCATCATCGTTTGGCAGGGGTTACGTTCCTCAACTCCACCATATACCTCTGAAGCTGAAACACCAGCGTACTGTACGCCATGTCACCAGCAGCTTGTTTGGTCTCTCTTCGCAAAAGCATTTGCTCCCAAATGATTAGAGAAGGGGGAAAAAAAACAAAACCTTGCCCTCTTTCCACACAAACACCCACCTGGTGGAGCGAGTGTGGCAGTAGTGTGTAGTCAGTGTTTTCTCCAAGAGACTGTAGAGAGGCCAGCAGCTCTGGGCTGAGGCTCGACGCTCCATATCTGGAGACACTTCCTGGAAACATGCCAGAGGGGGGAAAAAAAAAAAAAAAAAAAAAACCTGGAGACACTTCCTGGAAACATGCCAGAGGGAAAAAAAAAAAAAAAAAAAACGAAAACACCTATGAGACTCACCTGTTCTTACTCATGTCCAATTAATTATGTGAAGCCTTGCATGTTTCCCTTCAGAAGCTTTGGCAACTGCAGGAAAAGAAACGTGGCGATGACGCGGCGACGTCATCCGTGATGTCAGAGAGTGCGCGGCGCGCGTGATGGTGTGTCTGAGCAAACACGCCCCTCATGGCAAGTGTCACAAAGTGATGATGCGCTCATACTTAAGTATGAGGCACAATGATGAATGCTGAACTCGAGCTGTGAGGCCAGATTAGCATGTGTAGTATATATAGATGTATCGATATCTACATATAGATCTATATATAGATATATCGACTTATATATCTATCTAGAGAGAGAGTGAGAGAGAGAGAGAGCAATGACTTTGAAACCCAAGTTGTATGACGCAGCGCTTACGTAACACACTGTAGCTTAGCACCTCCAGCTGTTTGGTACATTATAGGCAGACACCCAAGAGCATTTTTCTGCGGCTCATCCTGCTCAACTTAATGCTCCGGTTGCCCGGTGCACTCTCATCGAGGGCAGCATGATGATGACGCTTCTCACCGGCAGGTCTTTACAGAAAGATGCGTTTCGCTGTGTCTATCCGATATGCTTCATTTGAGTCGTGCATGAATGAGAGACTGTTTCTCGGGCCCTGCGCGTGGGACTATTTATATGTACGTGTTGTTACCTGTGTCATCCTCCTGGTGAGTTGCAGTATCGGGACCTTTCGGGGGCCCGGTGTTCTTGTTACCCATCGCCTCGGTCGCTCCGGCCAGCTTTTCTTTCATGTATTTTTCTTCGGTCGTCGTCTCTGATTCTGAGGGATGTGTGAGAAGCTATTGCCGTTGGTCCTTTCCAGGAAAAAGTAGGCGCCGCAGTCTTGTGTTGAAGAGAACAGGTCACTTCTAACAGTACGTGGTATCCTGCAATTCTCGGTTGCCAAGCAGGAGGAGACGCGCAACTTCTTCTACGCTTTACTCAGAGCTTGGAGGGAAGAAGCGATTGTTCCCAGCCAGCTGTCGAGAGAGAAAAAAACAAAAATGAAGAATGTTTTGTTATTTTTAAAAAATTGGAACATTTGCCTTTGGCACATTGAGAAATTGAAGATTGCATCTTTGCATCGCATTGTGAAATGCCGCCGACGGCACAGACTCAATTGGCTATTTTGTGTCTAAAAACCAAAGCATGGTTGCTCACTGAGGCGGAGAGTCCCTTCTTGAATGGCTCCTCGGAATTAAATTGTCGAGCGCATGTTCTGTGCTACATATGAATCACTCGCTGACTTTCTCTGACCTGGATGAAAGAAAGACACCGAGCGTGAATATGAATGACGAAGGCTTTCGTAATGACAATGTGTCATCACTTTTTTTTTAACTTGGAAAACATGGACGGCAATTTATCTTACTGTCAGTCGGTTTCCAGTCATAATCTGAGAGGTTTTGCAATTGCATGCAATCAACACACCGCATCGATGTCAAATTCAAGCCGTAGATGGGCCGAGATGTCACCGATTTATTTTGACCTCTGTTACGCGTAAAGCAGGAATAGGACCTTGAAAGGAGACGTTATAAAAGTTTCTCCAAAGTCATAATGTAAAGGTCTCTGACATCATTACATCAAAATACACAAAGGATAACTGGTTGCATAACACTTCACACTCACTTCTGCTCAGTTTTGGGGGGGGGGGCGGTGCTGGTCTCATGCACTTGGAATTAACTCTCGAGCGACGAGCTGAATTGCTTTATAGCGCGAAATGTAAAATCTCACCTCGGGCACCGCATTGTCATCAAAGAACTCATCTATGACATCCATACAGTATCTGCATGTACGTATTAGCAAAAGAATATTTTCGGGCAGATGCACGTCTCCAATTTACATGTATGGTGTTTGATACAATAGACCAGAAAAGGAAGGGATTCCTTGTCTTTCATATTAAAGGCCTTTTTTGACGTTATAAAGATTAAGCTTCACTAAGCTGATCGGGATAATGATGCTGGCGAGCAGTTGTTTTCAAATTTAAACACAGTAGAGCCGTCGTTTTCCAAGGGGGCATCTTTTCAACCCCTCCTTGCCTGACAACCAGAGAGCGTCCGTTGCCTTTTGCTCATCCCAGCTAATCACCTGCACCCATCTGTCGGGGCCTCCACCCATGGGAAGCAGATCACATGCCCTGCTGCCATTTTGCACACTAAAAGCTTGTCAACACCACCGTCTGCACTTCCTGTCTCTTAGCATGAGCGGAGAACGGATCCGTCGAAGCTGACGTGGAGCAGATGAATGACGTGCGTGCCTTGTGACGTTTCCAACCTGTGCGACACAGCGCTGGAACAGGATTTATTTGACATTGGAGCGCTGTAAATCTTGCAACAGGGAATGAGATAGGAAGGCCGGGAGCGACGAATGACTCATACGGAGATTTTCAGGAGCGAGACAAAAATCCTGTGCGCATTCCTTCCACATTGCCAAAACATGCATGTAAAGTCACTTGTCCATTCATATTCCTTTCTACAGTTAATCCATGTAACAATTAATTGAATGAGATTCATTCGTCAAATTTTTAAAAATAGGAATAAAATAACCTGAATCAACCAATTTAAGGGGAAATGATTCCAATGATATCATATTTGAGGGAATCACAACCAAGCTCTTGATCGTGTAAAGGCAGCACGGGCCGGATTAAAGAACGGAGAGGGCCCCATGCAGCCCACGGGCCACACCTTACGCACCCCTGCCTTCAAGTTATAACGGTCTAAATATGCCTATTTACGTCATTTTTGCCTTTGCATCCAAAGTTGCGTAACACATATAAATTGTGCAACTTTCAAGTAGAAATAGTATTTTAATTCTCATAAAAACGAGATCATTCAAGCGACTCCAGTCAAATCGCTGCAAAGATAACTCTTCCGCTCTCCATCTTTCCCTTTTGTAGCGTGACATCCCTCCACTGAATCCCAAACGCGCGTTCTATCTTATATAACTTAATGACACATCTGGGGAAGATGAAGACATCGTGTGGGCTACTCACCGCTGCAAGAAGTGTGAAGGAGTGCGTGCGCATCTTCTCCGGGAAAGGTAGTACACGACGACACGGGCGTCTTCGCTTGTTTTTGGATGCAGGTGCACATCAGGCTCGTCGTCACGCGCCTCCGAGTCTCCTTACACGCTCGTCTTGTTTATTTCTCCATCCGGGGACTCACTGCCGCCTCGTCTCATGACGACGAGCTGGTCTTCCCTTCACGCCATTGGTATTTTGTTTTATTTATTTATTTATTTCGTTTTATTTTTAGTCGCACATGTGTCCGATGCTGCCATCTTCTGGAAGAGACGCGGACTCGCGGCGCGTGTCAGAGGTTACGTAAACGCTCGGGGGAATCAGAATTAAGACGACTTCATCCGGTGCGCAACATCATTTGTATGAAAACATTCTGTATTTGATTTACTTGACCTTCACCATCCGTTCGTGTTCTCCAAGAGCACAGGTGCGTACACACACACATTTTCAAGTGTGCCCCATCATTTATCGGAAGCAGGAATCTGAAAAGATGGACAGCTCCATAAATCCAATGTGGGTAGAGCTGGGCATCAAACGTTGATGATCAAGTACTTTTCTAGTCATAAGATTCAAAAGAGTAACAATTTTATTTCAATGTGGTTCAGCACCAAAATGGAGATACAGTACAAGTCATGAAGGATTTTCCTTTACACCGTCAATAGGAAACAAAAGCCTGTTGTCTTGTCGATTCAATGAAAACTTTGTATCAAGCTCACCATTTTTTCACCCCCATCACATTGGGACAGAAAATCATTTCGGCTCAAGCGAGTGTCGCAGGAGTGTGTTGAAGTGGTTTTTCTCTGTCTAAATAAGGCAAATTGGCAGACAGGCAGAAAGAAAGAACATACTCCACTGACGATAAGTTCTATCATTCAAAAAAAAGAACAAATTCCCAAATGTGCTGAAATTAGAAGTGAGTAAGTGCATCAAAAGATCCTTTTTTTTTTTTACAGGCAAATTCGACATTATAGTATCTGACAATAAAAACAAACATTAAGGTGGCATGTATTTAATCCATTGGTACCAAAGGAGCCGCTGGCTTCTCATCGCCATGCAGTCTTCCAATCACCTCCTCAAGGTCCGCCAGGAGCTCCAGAGAACTCACCGCGAAACTCCGCCAAAGGTCGCCTGCAGGACAGCGTAAGAGAGTGACAATGGCAAATCTCAATTGTGACTTCCATCGAGAAAATGCTTTCACTCACCGTTTTAACTCTGCGCGCTGTGCTCCTGCGCGAGAGTCTATCCGACCTGCTCCAGATCTTTGCTCAATTTGCGGAACTGGACTCTGACGTCTCTGATCGCCCGCGTGAGCTCCAAACACCGTTGCTTGCCGCTGAAGCACGCGAATTGCTGAAGATGCAAACAATTTCCAATTGCACATCAACTCTTCTAAGACAGCTTCATTTTCATCTTTTCTGGTAGCTTTATGAAAACAATTATTGGGTCCCCCCCCCCC